TCTTTGTATGACTCTTTAAGTAGGATTTGGAGAAAACCGTGAGGTGAGAGGATACCATGAGTCTGGACTTGGTTTCCTGGTGAAAGTCATGTAGTTTATATTCTGCAAAATAGGTTTCTATTTCATCAAATTGGACCCTAGAGAAGAGCGAAAGTCTCATAACAGTTTTTCCAAATGTGCTAGAATATGGCCTACCTTTTCATTTTCTTCAAAACCACTGTCATTTCAGTGGGCATGGGCTCTTTTTACTTTGATCACTGTGGTTTTCAGAGTGCTCATTTGTTCCTAAATTCAGAACTATTTCAGTTTTACTCCATCCTTATCTCTATGTAACTGCTGACTCTCGCCTCTTATATTTGAGGTAAATTGGTTTGGCTTAGTTTGTCTTCTTCAGCAAATCTTTTAAGGAATGTTCGAGTTAGATGTATCATGTGTATTTTGATTACATCTAGTTGATTTAAAATTTTTATTTTTTTCCTAGGGAGTAGTATCTAAATTATGCATAACTTAAAATTTTTCTTTTGCATGTGTATAGATTATATTGCCTTCTAGCTTTCCTGATGGATTGGTTTCATCATAGATGATGAAAAAAATGAATCTGGTGCACTCTGTAGGAATAAGGAGGAGGCTGAGGGACATCTCTGGAATTGGACTTGGTGGGTACAAATCTAAGCTCTGCTGCTTCCTAGCTGTGTGACTTGGGGCAGGTTTCTTGACCTTTCTGAACTTTGTTTTTCTCTTGTGTTAAATGAGGATGCCAGAAGTTATGAAGAGTAAATGAGATAATACTAGTAAAGTACTTTCTCAGCAAAGGTAACCTGTAAATAGTACTTAGTATAGTACAGCTGTTACGGAACTGTAAGAAAACTCAGTAGAGGAAAGTTTCAGTTTAGGACATTGAGTTTGTGGGTAGAAGTGATGGTGATGCTGATATGATAGGATTGGTAGCTTAATGCTGAGAGCACTGCTTTAAAGTCCTCTGGTGCATGTGGGTATGTGGTTATAGTCTATTTAGTGCTCAATGCCAAGATTGATGGACAGAAAGCACGTCAGATGGAAATGTTGGAATCCATTTGTTGCATGCATCAAAAATAACTTGTAAAATGATAGTGGAACTTGCTAGGGGAAAAGCATCTCACATAAATGATGTCCATGCACATTTCAGGCTTTGACACCGTGAGCTATACTTTTCTGCCAAGTTTAAGGAACAGGATTTCTGTCTGTAAGAGAGTGGAGTTGGGAACTAGAGTTCTGATTTTGCTCCATCACTGGCCTCTCTGTGTGCTTGGGCAGATCACAGCTTTTCCCAGAGCAGGATTTTGATTCCTGAAAAAGAGCTTAACAGTTAGCTCTCCTGGTGAGGATTAGCGTAGTTGGCATGAAAGCAGGTGGAGTGTAAAATCACCAAGTAAATGCAAATGTAAGTCACTTCAGTGTAGAAAAAGCTCTGTTCGTTGAGGAATTCTTGCCTTTTTACAGCTACGATTTTATTCTGTGAGCCTCCTGAGTTCTATAGTCCTCTGATAAATACTTCCTATGAAATACCCAGCCTCAGAGCTCTTATACTCAGTGGAGGCAGAGACCACTCCCTATTACTCCAGTCTGACTTCCGGCCTTTTGATCCCAGGGAAACCCCTGCTACAATTTCCTTCCAATACCTAATATTAAGTGTATTTTTTATATTTTTATCTCTTTGTCTTCATTTGCATCTGTTTTCTCACTCTTGTCTATCATATTTAGCATTGAGATATTGTAGTCCTGTGGCTTGGGGATTAGCTGTTGCATGTTCTTTATTTTACTTTTTAAAAACCTTACTGCTCCCTGGACTAGTTTGATGCCAGGTGCAACCTGATTTTTCTCCTGTAGAGAAAAATCGTGTAGGCTGGCTCACATATGGCCCCTGAGCTGATAATGTTTTGGGGGACTGAATGTATGAATTAAAAACAGCAAAGAAGCATTATTCAACTGTTTGAGTAAGGACCTCTTTGGTGTCATGATAGCTCGTGCCTGAAAAAGAGCACGCTTGTGTACAATGAGAAATAGAAACTTGAGAATTTTCTGGCAGAGCTTTTTGGAACCTTTATGGATTTGGACACTAAGAAAATTCTAGTTAGATTCCCTAATATACCACTTTCTTTTTCTTTAGTACTGGTGTGTCATGAATCCTTTAAAGCATATCTACTCTGATTTGCTTTCTGAGTGTGCAGCTGAAGTGAACGGAGAAGTGAACACTGGTGAGAGGAATTTTTTTGAGATAAATAGGCAAGGATTGAAAAGAGAGGTGTGTTGAGAAGAACATGTGAGTGTGTGGCGGTGTTTTGAGGTGGCCTTCCTGGAATTGTCAGCGAGGAAGCCAGAGGAGTGAGGGCACTGCATATTACTCCTCTGGGGATAAGAGACGCCGGCAGAGAGTTCCCCAGGTGGCCCCCAAGGACAGTAGGTATGCTACTTGGGGTGACCTTGGGTCGGGGGTGGAGAGACGAAGAGGAGTGTGACTTTAGAGCTCTGGCGATGCTGACCTGCAGGCAGGTGGCTACCTCCCATGGAGGGCCAGTTAGGGTTCATCAATTCAGGAAGAAACCCAGGGCTTCACCTAGGTAGGCTCTCGGTGAATTAAATTCACTAACTGGTCCTGCTGGCCAGGTCTCAGCTAATGTTTATTGAGCACTTACTCTGTGCTAGGCCCTGGATAAGCATTTTACATTTTATTCAACAACCCTATGAGGAAACATATTTGGGAGGTTGTGACCCGCTCAATTTCCACAATTGAGTGAATGACAGAGCCAGGATTCCCTAGGGTCTGCTTGATGCAGAATTCACCCCTGTGCTGTCAGGTGGAGGCTCTTTGCCCCAGCCCCCAAATTTTAAGTGTGAGGACACAGCCCTGCAGCTCTGTTCATGGTACTGTGTGTCTTGTATAGGCATCTGCAACTCAGACAGTATAGCTAAGAGCAGCATCAAAGGGACATGTTATACACTGAGTTTTCTAGTTTCCAGACACTTAAATATTTGATGTAGAAGAACTGTCCTAGGAGAGAATGTCCCTGACCTGCTGCTGTAGAGTAGGACTTCTAGAACTTTCATTTAGTTATTTATGTTCAAATTCCAGTAGCAATTTTAGGTGTTTAGCTCTTTGCTAATCACAGATTCTTCATAATGGGAGAAAGTCATCCCGTGAAATACCAGCACCCTTTGAAAGGAGAGACATTGTAAGTTAACTTCTCGCTAACGGAAGACTCCCATATTCCTACAGAGTTTCAGAAAGAAAGTTGATGAGATTCCAGGAGATGCCACTTATTTAAAAATAAAGTGTGGATAGAAATGTATGAAGCTAGAAGTGGTTCTGAAAAGCAGCAGGGGAGCCTGAGAAGGTGGCGTTGAGGTAGTAGGGCTCAGAGAGTTTGGGGTTCAGCTCATGAGTGTTTGCCTCTGGATCCTGGCTGCAGGAGGAATCCAGGCCAAACCACCTTGGCAACTCATAGATAGTTACCGGGGGCCTCTCTGCTTGGAGGACCACAGACTTCTGACCGCATACTGTATGAAAACTGACGTTGATATATTTTCCTGTTCTGTCTCCCCTTAGCCTGAAGAAAGGAGCTTGTGTGTGGCCCAGTCTGAGCCAGGATCCAAGGATGAGTGACTCTGTGGACTGACATTTGGGGGTTGGCTGTGGCTGAGGGACAGGGTGGGATCTCACGCTTCCCAAGACCTGGCTTTGGGGCCTGGCTCAGTTATTTCTGACTGTGTGACCATACTGTCCTTCATATTTGTCATCTGTAAAATGCCTGCCTCCCTTGTCCCACCTCTTTACTGGGCTGTCCTGAACATAAAATGAGGTAGCTTGTGAATTCTGATATTTGGCATTACTGTCACATATTAAAAGTGCTTGCTTAGCCTTACAATATTGCTCTTATTTTAATTTGGCATCCACAGGGAGACATTTGGAAGGTTTAAGTAAAGCAGCGAGGGCCATAAAAGGTCTTACATCTAGCTAGCTCTGTGTTACTTGGGAGCTGATCATTTAATTTGCAGCATTTTAGGACTTCGCTTTCTATCACCTGCTGTATTGTTGAGAATATAGGCATGGCTGCCGTACAGAGAGATTGAGAATTGCAGAGGCTTAAACATCTAGAAATGCAGTTCTCTTTCACCTAAGTGGTCCAGGGCCGTTTTGGGAGTTGGATGGTACATGGAATGAGGGACAAAGGCCCCTCTGTCTTGTTTTCTCACGGGCCTCCCACCTCTTGGTCCAGGGTGGCTCTTCCCACCTGCCTGGAGGAGAGGATGGATGACCTCAGCTAGTCAGACGTCCACACTCAGCTACACTGTAGAGTTGAGCTCAGCACCCACGTGTTCAGATAAAAATTCAGTTGTGTACAAAGGGAGATCGAATATTGCAGGGTGGGCAACTAACAGCACCTGCCAAAGCTGCTGGGGCTGTTAGCTTCCCTTTAGGGAAGATGGGGAAGACCGCAGTTTTTATTACTAGCCCATTCTTGTGAACAACTATGGGATGACATTTGAAGGGGTTAAGGCCGCTGGCTAAGAAGAGGCTTGGAGATGATTTGTGCTTTTCTTTATTCAGGCTTCTGAAGCCTTCTGTCATTCACAAGCAGTGAGTAGTCCCTTCTTGCTGCATTTCATACCCTGTGCTGGGTGCTGGGGACTCAGGGCTCATGGTCTCTGCTCCGTAAGGTCCACTGCTCACACGTGTGGCCAGCAATGAAGGCAGAACTGTCTGCTGTGCATTGTAATGCGAGACAGATGGGGGGTTCACGGGGAAGGACCAGCCCACCCTGGGCAGGGCAGGGTGTGTGTGTGTGTGTGTGTGTGTGTATTGCACTCCGGTGGGGGAAGGTCACTGGCAGGAAGAGGTGTGATAATCTGTATCAGCTTGAATGACAATGGGTCCCTGGGAAAGCAAGTGAATGACTTACAAGATGCTGTTCTCTGGTGTCATGTCCGTGGCTTACTGTGCTTATTGCTGTTTCTTTTCCTAGAAACCCTCTATGTGGGCATTGCTGGGACCCTCATCACAAGGAACAATGCTGCCCCGATGGGAACTGTCTTTTTACCTGCTCGCTTCGCTCGGCTTCCACTTCTATTCTTTCTATGAAGTTTACAAAGTCTCCAGAGGTAAGGCCCCAACTTTTCTGAACTTCTATCAAGAAAGGAAATGGGAAGGAAGCAGTCAGAGGTGGAAGATTCAGGAAGACTGTCTAACAGATGACTTGGGCCCTGCTTTGCTTTCCTCTTGTCTTGGACCATTTGAATCAGTGATCTGAGACAGGGACATTTCTCGCCCTAATCCTGTGTCTATTAGCTGATCGTGTAGCTGGTCTTCCGTGATATGCAGGTTTGATTCAATGGCTACTGAAGGCCGCAGAAGTGATTTGCATTCATAATTTGCAGTAACCTCTTAACAATTTTCTCTTGTGCATGAGGCAGCTTCTGGTGTTGAAAGTCTAGACTCCTTTCTTCTTCTTGTTCTGCTGTGTTTAGTGCTTTTGTACACATGTTGAAGAGGAATCATCACCCAGTCTACACTCCAGCCCATAAGAAGGGGGTGGGAAGCCTCCTTTCCTTTAAGTGCAGCTTGGCAAGTTACCCTTGTCACTTCTATAACACCCAGTTGGCCGGCACTAAGTTCCATAGCCACAGCTGGGAAGCTGGGAAATACTGTTTTTTGCTTGGTGGCCAAATGCTACTGGAACTTCCCATACTGTGGAGGAATGGCAGCAAGGCTTGGAGGGACCTTGAGTGATCTCTTCCACAGCCAGGACCAGTTTTCTAGAGGTGACAGGGATGATTACTGAGCCTTGTCTTAAGGAAGAACGGGAGTCAGCCAAGTAGAGAGAGGGCAGAGGATCTGTGGACAGAGATGTATCAGCGGGCAGATGGATGAGCTTCTGCAATGCCAGTTGGGTGTGAGAAAGCAGAGCATCATGTGGGAACAAGCCACTCAGTAAGACTGGAAGGTAGTGTGAAGGGACGGTGGCAAGACTTGGGCTTAGATCAAAAAGCAGGAACAGATTGTGAAAAATGTTGTATATTTGGCTGAGGAGTTTAGACTACTTCAAAGGCAGGGGAGTATGCTGAAAGTAGTGTGGTCACTGAAAATGGCCAAGATGGGTTTTGAGAAGCACCTTTGAGAGTGCTTGGCCCTCAGCATCTACCTTCTTACGGGTCACTGGGGTTGATTTGGACATATGTCACCAGGATTGACTTTTCTCCCAATCTACGTATGTCCCACTCCAAGCTGTGGGCTCGGAGACTGATCGTCTAAAGGGGACAAGGACTGTTGTTTAGTTGAGGCTGTCCACATACTGGCCTGCCCTTGCTGGAGCCTCTGAGCACCTGGAGACCCATGTAGAAGGAGCTACCCTCCTCTGTGTCAGGCATCATTTTAGATACTTTATGTATCCTGTCTTGTTTAATCTTTAGCACAGCCCTGTGAGATGGTATGTTGCTTAGAAGACCGGCTTGTGTGCAGAAACAAGCCTCCAACATACAGGGGCTGGTATGGAATGTAGATAGCATGAGAGACCCTGGCTCCTTCTACCATGTTCCTCTGCCACCTTCAACATGTGCTTGCATCTCATGATATGAGGTGGCTTCTCCAGCTCCAGCTGTCACATTCGTCATTTCCCAGCAGGAAGGTGGGAAACGAAGGGGAGGCCAGGCACTCTCTTCTTCAGAGCGTGACCTAAAGGCTGCTTATATCACAGCCATCCTCATACTGTTTGCTGGAACCTAGTCTTGTAGCTACAACCGCTGTGGAGGGAAGCTAGTAAATGTAATCTTTGATTGGGAGGCATTTATCTAGCAAACCTCAAGGGCTGTATCACAGAGGAGGAAACACAGAATGGATATTAGTGCTTAATCAGCAGTCTCTTCCATAAATGGATGCCTTAGTTATTCATTGCTGCCTGACAAACCACCCTGAAGCTTTGTGAGTTAAAACTACCACCATCATTTATTATCTTGATGGTTCAATGGCAATTGAAGGCCGTGGAAATGATTTGCATTCGTAATTTGCAGTAACCTCTTAAAAAATTTCTCTTTTGCATGAGGCAGCTCATAGTGTTGAAAGTCCAGACTTTCATCTTCTTGTTCTGCTATCTTTAGTGCTTTTGTATGCATGTGAGATTTTTTTCCCATTTTAATTATTCTTTAGAGCAGTTTTAGGTTCACAGCAAAAATGAGCAGAACGTACAGAGTTCCCATATGTTCCGTGTCCCCATACACAGCCTCCCTATCAACATCCTCTACCCCAATGGTACATTTATTATAATCGATGAACCTACATTAACACATCATTATTACTCAAAGTCCATAGTTTACAGTAGGGTTCACTTTTAGTGGTGTTCACTCTGTGGGTTTTGAGAAATTTATAATGATATTTATCTATCATTATAGTATCACACAGAGTAGTCTCACTGCTCTAAAATTCCTTTGTGTTCTACCTATTTACCCCTCCCATCCCCCAAATTACTGGTTTTTTTACTGTCTCCATAGTTTTAGCTTCTCCAGAATGTCATATACTTGAAGTCATACAGTTTGTAGCTGTTCCAATTGGCTTCTTTCACTTAATATGCGTAGAAGGTTCCTCCATATCTTTTCATGGCTTGATAGCTCAGTTCTTTTTAGTGATGAATAATATCCCATTGTCTAATGTACCACAATTTATCCATTTGCTTATGAAGGATACCTTGGTTGTCTCCAAACTTTGGCAATTACAAGTAAAGATGCTATAAACATCTGTGTGCAGGTTTTTGTGTGGACATAAATTCTCAGTTCCTTTGGGTAAATTCCAAGGAGCAATTGCTGGATTATATGGTAAGAGATTATTTATTTTTGTAAGAAACTGACAAACTGTTTTCCAAGTGGCTATACCATTTTGCATTTCCACTAGCAATGAATGAGTTCCTGTTGCTCCACATCCTTGTGAGAAGTTGATGGTGTCAGTGTTTTTGATTTTGGCCATTCTAATAGCTGGGTAGTGGTATTTCATTGTTGTTTTAATTTGCATTTCCCTTATGATATAGGATGTGAAGCATCTTTTCATATGTTTATTTGCCAACTATATATCTTATTGGGTGATGTGTCTGTTTTGGTCTTTTGCTCATTTATTAGGTTGTTCATTTTCTTTTTCTTGTTTGCAAATTCTACTTGTTCATTGCTGACGTATAGGAAAACAGTTGACTTTTTTATATTAATCTTCGATGCTGCAACCTTACTTATTAGTTAATTAATAATTGCTCATTAGTTCCAGGAGTTTTTTGTCAATTCTTTGGATTTTCTACATACATGTTATCTGCATGCAAAGACAGTAACTTTTATTTCATTTTCTTGTCTTATTGCAATAGGTAGGACTTCCAGTATGACACTGAAAAGGACTGATGAGTGGGAACATCCTTGCATTTTTCCTGATGTTAGTGAGAAAGCTTCTAGTTTCTCACCATTAAGTATGATGTTAGCTGTTGGTTTTTTGTAGATATTCTTTCTCCAGTTGAGAAAGTTCTCCTCTACTTCTAGTTTGCTGAGAGTGTTCAATCTCAAATGGGTGTTGGGTTTTATCAGATTCTTTTTGTGCATTTATTGATATGTTTGTGTGATTTTTCTTTTTTGGCCTGTTGATGTGATATATTGTATTAAACTGGGTGGTTGTGCTCTGGGGCCTTTGTTTTTAATAAATTTGAACTGGACTCTGCAGGGCAATTCTTCTGCTTTGTGTGTTGTACCTGAAGCTTCAGTAATCTGGTGTCTTGGCTGGCTGAAGTGTCCAAGATGGCTCACTCACATGGTTAGCTGTCAGCCAAGACTTCAGTTGGGGGCTGTCAGTTGGAACGTTGTAGTTCTCTCTATGTGGTTCTTCACATGGCTTACATTTCTCATAACAGGACAGCTGGGTTTCAAGAGGTTGTGGCAAGTACACAAAAGCAGAAGCTGTAGGTCTCTTAAAGCCCAGCCTGGGATGTTGTACAGGTCATTGCTGCCAATCCAGATTCAAGGGGAGGAAAGACTGTACCTCTGTATGGCTGGAGCCCCACATATGTGCAGGGAGAGAAGGAATTGATGGTGGCATCCTTGGAGTCTCTCTACCACAATGGGTGTTATACTTCTTTACCCAGGTAAGGCTACTTGTCCAAGGTCACACATCTAATAAGTAATGGAACTAGTTTTAAACCCAGGTCTGTCCAACAATATTTTGTTCTATTCTGTCATTCATATTTATTGATAATTTAATTTCCTAAAGCAATTTGCTTTAAAGGGGCTTTAAAGGGAAAGCCCTTTTGTCTGCTTTATGTTCAATTTTAAAATTTTATCCCACTAAAATAGAATTTTCTTTTTTGTATCATGGCAGGTGCTGGGATGGGGACAGGAGGATGTCCTTTTGTGGATAGTACAATATTCTCTTGGCACCTCAACTGATCCAGAGGCTGTCCTGCTGTTTGACTTATTACTGACCACTCCCTAGCCTTAAGCCTCTTTTATCCTTTATGCTTTTCCTTTTAATGTCAGTGCCAAAGTGCTTCTCAGGCCGCTCCCAAGAAATATCTTCTTTCCCTAATGCCTTTGGCAGTTCAGCTCATGGAACCGCCCTGCCAAAGTGTGTTTAATGGTGCAATGTTGAATGTTCTTGGCTCCGTGTCTTACTGTCTAATTCAGGAAAAAGTGCTACTTAACCTGCATTATAGAAGTAGGTCACTCGGAAAACTTGTCTGTCAACTTTTTTGGGGCATTTGTAACTGGAGCAAATGTAGTGCCTAGAACGTATTAGAGGCTCAAAACTTGTTAAGCGAAATGCCACCAATTGGCATCTGCCCAGCTGCTTTTTCTGGGCATAGAGCAGGCCTCTTGTTCACACTCCCTGCCCATCAGCAGCAGTGGGCTTGTCAGGCCGTTAGGGAGAGCAGACCCATCTTTACCATATGTAGTCTAGTGGAATTTCTTGGTAAATCCCAGCAGGACTGAGCAGAACACCCCTTCTTCCTCCTCTTCCTCCCAACTCTTCCAAGCACAGGACATCTCAAAGCCACGTGGAGTGCTGGGGTGAGGTGGTGGCGATCTGCTATGCTTTGTGGCCTCTGCCCTTGTGCTCTGCAGTAGGCCTGCAGGTCTGGCTCATCCAG